CAAATACTTAATTAAAATAAGAAATAAACAAATGATTGAAACAAGTCCACCAAGTGAAATAAAACAAAGGAAAGCAAAAATAAAACAAAGGAGAATATTGTTTTAAAAAACTATTGCACTTTCAGAATCCCAACGGTCTAAATGAGAGTGAGGTCTGAAATGTTAAGCCTTCAGTGAGATGTGTGCGGGGCAGTGGAGGATGTGGAAGTGTGGCCGGGCTGCTATGGGCCGGTCCCACCTGAGAAACAAGAACCATGGACCAGGAGGAGCGTAGACGGAGGAGGGAGAGAGCAAAAGGAAGAATGAAAGAAGGAAAGAGGAGGAGGAGGCTGTGTGCCCACAAGGAAGTGCTTTACATCCTCTTTGTCAAAGCACAGCTGCAAGAAGACTTGTGGAGCAGTCTTCAGTGCAACACTGTTTCCTAATCAGGGGTGCAGGCACTTCATCGTACGATGTACAAACAGGTTCATTCATATTATCAAATCATTTCAACCCAACATAGGTTAAAAATGAATGCAATGGTATGGACATAGTCGAGAGATTATTAAGAGATATGGGATCTGACCCCATCACGTCCCACAGTGGCAACATTTCAGTTTATGGAGATGGAAAAAGGGGACACCTTATCGTTGTACCGGGATCATTTTCTTTCTTAGCTTTTTCCGTAATCAACTCACAAAACATCTAACCAAAGTCAAACTCTATATTATATTTCCAAATGTTTCTCAAATTTGGCTTACTAGAGTCATTAAGTGCAAAAATACATTACAAGATAAAATATCATATGTAGAATCCTCAAATTTGACACAGGGGAAGACATGACAAGACAAATAAATATATATTATGAACACAACACAGATCATCTAGACAGCGAAAAGACACAGTAAGACCAAGGCCTTTCATCAACGAAGCTCAAATGTTCAGGAGCGTTGGCAGAAACTCCCCATGTTGTGTTAGTAGGAAATGTACCAAATCCTGAAAATCAACAGAAAAGAAACCAAAATTCCAACCAAAGTCAATCATGTGCTTCTCTAATATCTGGGTATTTCCGGACTCAAGTACAGCAAAAACGCATAACAAAAAAAAAGTCCTCGTAGAATCCTTTTCCACAGACGTAGACCATGACTGTAACATACATGTTGTGTATGTAACAATACAACAATATTCATCAGTATCAGTTTACTTTCACTTTTAGCAACATGTGATTTTGACTGCATTCATTCTTGCAGCTTTAGTGGAAGAAAAACCACATTGGGTAAACGAGACTAAACACGATTGGGACGCACAGACGAGGAAGAAAATCCAAATGAAAGTTGAATGAAAATATGTCTTCAAAAACAGACTCGCTCTTAATGGTAAATCAGCAGCATCCGCGCACAAAGCCAATGCAAACAGGCAGCTCTGACAGCAGGGAAAACACATGGAGAATTCTTGTGGCTCTATCTGATATCAGAGTCTGTTCCAGTCTGAAAATATGTTGTCCTCAGTGCAGGTCACACATCTAAAGTCTGGTCTCGTGAGATGAGCACATTTCACAGGCCGACGACAGAACACGAGGCCTGCTCACGGTGGTATTATTCTACTCAGGATATTAGTGAGGCTAGAGACCATTAGACATGTTTGTTTACGCTTTGACAGACAGAAGAGAGATGCTCCAACTGTCCGACTATTCTCGTCCCTTCATATGGACGTGTCATATAAACAGAATGTGATATGTTTGTTTGAGTTGTTGAAAACTTAAATGCTGTGAGTCAATCAATCGATACCAGGTAAATACTGTGTTAGAGTAAAACAGTTTTAGAATAAAACAGTGTTGCCATGACAGTAAGACTAATGGTGCTTCTTTGGTCAGTAGCAGTAATCTAACGAGATACTTTGGCCTCTGCTCTCGTAATGTTACTTTTAGCCCACTGCGGATCGTGACTTTGATCGAGACAGTCCCACTGAGCTAGGGCTGGGCGATATGGCAAAAAAGTAAAATCTCAATTTTATTTCCTGCTTTGGACGATGTCGATTTTAAATCGATTTTCATTAAAGTCACTCAAGACAGACTTTACCCTTAAAATATTTTTTATCTTCCCGATCAATATTTAAGTTTCAAAACTATTTTTTATTTGTTTCCCCCAATACATATTATAAAAGGGGTGTACAGACTGTGCTGATATCGCAAGTATAATTGATGTGCTGCTGGAACTCTCACAATATCCCTCATTCGATTTAACGATTTTCACATTTTTCACAAATTAGATTTTTTCAAAAGCCGATTAATTGCCAAAATTCGATTTATTGCCCAGCCCTACACTGAGCTGTCATGTTTTTACCGAGTTTTGAATGAAAGTAAACGCTCATTGGATAAAACAAACCGAAAGCCATTACAGCGGATCCGTCAGGACCAATCAGAGGCAGAAGGCAGTGGCCAAAGTACGTTCTCTTCTTTTATTGTAGAAAGGTGTGAGTTTCCTTCAGAACCTCGTGAGTGGCACGTGTGATTGGAGTTTATGATCATACAGAGACGTGACCAGGACAAGACACAGACACATTTAACTGTAACTGTTCATTGATTATCGCAAGGCTGTAGATTGGAAAGTTACTAGTTATTAGTGTATAAAAGTATACACTTATTGTGATATTGAATTTATTGTACTTATTGTGATATGGAATTATATACAAAAAGTTCTCACTTAACACAAATATATATATTTCAAGAAACAAATAATGGAATAATGTGAGCACATGTTGATGGTGAAAGGCAGACTTGTCCTGCCTCCACAGTACACAGCTCACAGTACCTCAGGGGGAGCATAGGTACGGTCACTAAGGATAAGGCAATTATTGTGATGCTACGGTTTCTCTCGTGTCTCACCAGTCAGTGGAGGCCAATACCAAAGCAATTTTTTCAAAATGCTTCTTTTGGACAATAAACTGTGATTTTAACTCAAAATTATGGAACAGTTACCAAAAGCTTTTATACAAGTTTTACTGATATAGTTTTGAAATGATCAAGAAATGTCGAGATTTGTCATTTTATTTAATGTCAATACTTGCTCAAATTAGTATTTTGTTTTGATGAGTTTTAGTAAATAATAATATCTGATTGATGATACTTTTTACAACCCTAAAGTGCAATGTTTAAAACTTATAATAGATAAAATATTCAGAACACAATAGTGCAGATGCTTCCACTTCACACCGTCGACTGTTAATCTGCCACAGACACATAGACACATTGTCACCTCTGAAAACCTGAACTCTTTCTGGTTTCAGAGGGCTCGGCTGCAGCTCCTCTCCCAGAAAAGTGCCCCTGTATTTCTGCAGAGTGCACAGACCTGCTCCTTCACACCGTCGACTGTTAATCTGCCACAGACACATAGACACATTGTCACCTCTGAAAACCTGAACTCTTTCTGGTTTCAGAGGGCTCGGCTGCAGCTCCTCTCCCAGAAAAGTGCCCCTGTATTTCTGCAGAGTGCACAGACCTGCTCCTTTCAGACTGTGGTCTTGGCTGCTCTCTGTGCCGCTGTGACTTGCATTATAGTGAGATTCAAACCCACAGCAACACCAAAGAACACCATCTATCTATCCGTCCATATAGGCTGGTCGTGATCATTAGTGCATTTCTTCAATAACAATCATATCAATCAACATTGTACATTTTCTTTGTGATAATAATAATAATAACAGAGAGCTGATGGACTGATTGGCTGAGTGAGGGTCGTTCTATCTTCTACTTTTAGGTCTGAAAAAGTTGATCTAAAGTTTCTTTAAATCTCTGTTTTATTTTGGACTACTGATACTACCGCTTACAATGACGTTTTCTTATTTGTTGAATGCATGTTACTTTGTTAATGTTTTGTACTGCGCATGCTACAAGTGCATTTTTTGGTGAAAGCCGACAGTACTGTAGTAAGTGGCATTTTTCATATGTTCAAAAATCTCCCTTCATTACACTGTTGAAGACATTTTTATGGGAAATAATATTGTATTAATTGTATGGCTCTCAATGACATCTTCTGAAAGGACTTAAGGTGCAGTTAACTAATCTCAGGAAAGAAATTATCCCAAAATGTTAACAGGCTCTGTTTCTTTTGACAGTTCTTATCACTCACATTACACCGTTTGTAAAACACTGACTCTTTCAAGAATGCCGACATAATTTTTATTATGACTGATATTAAAATGCAGGTATCATTCTTAACCATGCGCTTACTGCTGCTCCTTATGCTGGACTGTTTTAATAAAGAGACTGAGGACTATGCCTATACTACTGCCTTTTTCTGTTAGTTTGAAACAATAAATGCAACAGTCATCATAAACATCATAGGACTGTTTCAAAAGCAGTGCACTGACTGAGAAGACGAGGGACTGTTTCACATCTCCACACATGAAGCCTTTTTTCTCTATAGAGTTTAAATTTCCTCACAGAGGGACATACAAAGGTTTATCTTATGTTAACCAGAATTAGTCAAAGTAAAGAGGACTCTGGTTCACTTTGGGCTAGCTATAATCTATTTGAGGTGATGTGAAACCCCCAAACAAGTGTACACTGATCCAATAGCCATCCATCCCTTGATAGGCAAGCTTGAGCCACTACAGGTAAAATGTAATCATATATTGATTATAAACTAGTCTGTGGTAGCACTGCAAATAATGTTATTCTCTTTATGTCACCTCGGCAATCTCCAGTTGCTTAAGCTGGAACGGGCTTTTTGTGAGTGTGAAATTGATCTATACATTAATAATTAATGCTTTTACCATAATTCTTCTTGAAAAATTGTATTTTTCTTGAATATCCTTCTCATTAAATACATAAGTAGTCTTCATTTAAATAGCAAATTAATAGTATTATCAACAAAATAAATCCCTGTAGCAAACTTCTCATATTCCCTGACCCAGACAGCAGCGGCACATGTGGCGCACTTCCCACTTTCGCCTCTAGATGGCAGCACTGTCTCGACAATTAGCCCGTGAAAAACAGCTCTATATTCCCAACAGCATATCACAAGGATGTGGACTGTCCCTTCCTGTTTAGTGTCGACAGAGCCACCGCAGAGGGGATCCATGCAGCCGCAGCAGCCACAGCAGCCCGGTTATGTGCTCTTCGTGTCGGCTTCCCAGCGCAGGGCACACCGCAGCGCTCCTTAGCCCATGCTCGGCTGGTGTTTTCGGGGTAGCTGGGATCGTAGCAGGCCTGGTTATTGCGCTGGCAGCCCGTGTTCCTTCTCCGTGTCAATGACTGTCCTCCCAGCTGCTCTCTCATGGCGGAGACTAAAATCATATATCATATAGACGAGGAGGAAACTCCATATCTAGTCAAACTATCTGTGGCTCCGGAGAAAGTCACATTAGCAGATTTTAAAAATGTCCTCAACAACAGACCGGTCAATAGCTACAAATTCTTCTTCAAATCCATGGACCAGGATTTCGGGTGAGTGGATTTTTTTCTTGTTATTAGCTCGTTATTAGCTGGTTATGATGATGGCGTGGGCAGTGTATGATCAGTGTATCGTCTGTATATGGTCAGTATATGGTCAGTGTATGGTCAGTGTATGATCAGTATATGGTCTGTATATGTTCAGTGTATGATCAGTGTATGGTCAGTGTATGGTCAGTGTATGGTCAGTGTATGGTCAGTGTATGATCAGTGTATGGTCAGTGTATGATCAGTGTATGATCAGTGTATGATCAGTGTATGGTCAGTGTATGGTCAGTGTATGATCAGTGTATGGTCAGTGTATGGTCAGTGTATGATCAGTGTATGGTCAGTGTATGGTCAGTGTATGATCAGTGTATGGTCTGTATATGGTCAGTGTTTGATCAGTGTATGGTCTGTATATGGTCAGTGTTTGATCAGTGTATGGTCAGTGTATGGTCTGTATATGGATTGTATATGGTCAGTGTATGGTGTGTGTATGTGTGTGTCTAATGGGGCCACGGTAGCAGCGCGCTCTGGCACCTGCTCCGTGTTGCTACAGCGGTGCACAGAGTGTTTGAAGTGATCCAGCCGGAGGTAATGACGCACACACTGCACGGACAGGACTCTCATGTCAACACAAAGAGCCAGCAGCGCGCCGTGTCCAAGCCAGAGCTCCGAGCCGCGTCCGTATGCCTCCACACCGGGGCTTTGCGGTGTGCGTGTGTTTCTGTCAGCCCGTGGAACATGCATGGGGAAGATGGATGATGTCTCAATGATGTAAAGCAGTTGGGCGAGTTTATTTGTATGGCACAGTTCATCCACAAGGCAACTCAGAGTGCGTAACGAGACAAGATAGAGGCACTCACTCAAGGTATTGCAATGGAAGACTTATTAGTGCTACTAAAATAATAAAAGACACTATTATTATTGCTGTAGACACTTTTTATTGTACATAATATCCTGCACAAAAGAGACAATATTTTGAACCTTTAAAATGTTTGCACACTTCATATCTTTTTCCTCAACCCTGAGGGATACTATTTATGCCAAATGTGACATGCACATTTCTCTATGGTGAGATCAATAAAGTTTATCTTATCTTCATAATCACATAGAGGGAAGATGCAATCCGTCATTTGTTTGCACAGCGTTCAACCTGGATTTGAACAATGTCAGAGTAGAAGCCTGCCCCACATTTTCAGGAAGACAGTCCCACATTTTAGCTGCATTAATCTGAAATTAAGTTTCCCCATTTTTAGTTCTGACTCTGGGCACCAGGCTGGAGGTCCGTCCCTGTGCTCCTCAGAGTCCTAGCAGGAGGTCTGTCCCTGTGCTCCTCAGAAATAGTTCCAGTCTGAGTTTGTTCATATGGCACTAACATGTCGCGGATGTACTTGTATGGATGGAGAGACTTGTAAACAATCAGAGTTGCTATATACTATTCACATAATCATAACATGTACCTGTAGTAAGTCCACAGACAGCATTTCTGCATGGAGATCCCAGGATGACAAGAGCAGAGCTGATGGCCACAACTTTCTCTCATGAACAGGGAGTTGCTACAGTCATCTCTTATTACATGAAACAATGTAGTTTATTCATTGTTTGCAATTTTCCAAGGCGTGTCCATCTAATGTCAAAGTTAGTTTTCTTTTGCCTTAAATATGTAACATTTTATTGCCTTGTTATCTTGTAACATTTCTATCGGTGACAGATTCCTGCATTTGTCACAGTAAAGCTCTCTCAAATGTAGGCCAACCTGATTGTTGCTCCGTTAGTACATGGTCCACTCTAGTGCATTGTGTGATTTTAATGTTATGCTTCAATGGGTTTTCTCAGAACCAGATCAGAATCAGAATTCTTTTATTTCCATTGTCAGTGAACAGGGATTGTCTTTTGCATGTATGGTGCAATTACACAAAATAATCTACCTTTTACTATTATATGTACATTATAGATACACATTAGACATTACACGACAGATCAGTAATAATCCTGACTGACATTACATATTTTAAACTTCACAAAATAATCTCCTTTGTGAGGTTTTTCCCTGTAGTAATGACAGTGATATAGATGTTCAGGAAAAGTCACATTTGTCTTGTTCATCTTTAATCTCCGTCTAATTAAGCGGACCATTTTTTTTAATTGTGTTATTGACCTTAATTCAACCAAGATAGCCCTCCTGAGATTCTGAATCTCTTTTACAGGGGAATGCTGGCCCCACAGTGTTTTAATGCACATTATGGGAAGACTAGGAAGCTCTCACAAACATGATTATAAAGTAGACTCCCTCTTGTATTGATCGGGCTCAAATTATCTTGTTCACTAGTTTGTTAATTTAGATGTTTCAAGCAGCTGTCAATGCAAACCCCTTTGGCTAAAGCTGTTTCACTGCAGGCATTTTAACCAACATGTACTTATTAAACATATTTATCTTGGACTGAACTTAGAACTAAAGCAGGACTAAAACAGGGTCAAGTCAAGAACAAGACCAGACAAACACAGAATAACAAAAGGTCCATTCCATAAGGGCATTATCAGATGAAAAACATACAATTCCATGTCGTTGTTTGTCTTTCCACAGTTCTGCAATAAATAAATCTGGCTGCAAACTGAATGACAATATAGAATATCTGGAGATGTGGAGGTAATTACAGCTTCCCCCGGTTTCTTGCTTGGTGATCCGTGTGTGCAGATGTGATGAGGCTCTTGTGGTCAGTGCTCCCGTTTAGGCCCGGGCTGACATATCTGTGTCAGGGCATTCTCATTCCGATCTCCCTCGTCATCCTCAGACATGCACATTACTGTATGTGGGAAAGGGCTGCGTCTGTCACAAACATCATGCTGTAGGAATAATAAACACAGTTATTTGGCTTCTGGCTGAATACACAGATTGTCTTATTTTGTTTACTGTCAAAATTCACCAAAGAGAATTATATTGTGTGACATTAGATTTCTTTAAAAGCCTAGGGGATTAGAAAAAGCTGATCCATCGCTTTTAGGGCTGTAACAAGTGAATTTATGGATTTTGAAGTAGCTGCCAACCAATTCTAGTAGTTTTTAAATTTTCATTAAAACAGATGTAAGCCCGCTGTCATTACGTTTTATGACGCGTTTCATAAAGCACAGCTCATCGATTATCAAATGAATAATGGGGCAACTAATCGATCATTGTAAATAATCACAGCCTTAATTGTATTAATAATTTTTTGTTTGAGCAATAATTGAGCAATACATTTGAATATCACACATCCTTTTGATATGGTTTTAAAGAATTACTGTCATAAGCACTTTTATTTATATGTTTAGGACTGAAAAGATATTTACTTTTTTGGCAGCATTTATATTATGTTGGATACATTTATGTTTATGTATACTGTGTCAGGCTGATACAAAGATTAGGGACAACACAGTGGCATTAATGTGCAGTGAGTGATTTCCATAAACAAAAGGTCTTCTCACGGACTGTTTGTGTGATTCTGTAGTTACAAATGTGTTTCCAAATGTAGAGGATTCTTTTTTTCCCTCATTATCTCCAACTACTTCACTGTTTCGATGAAACCGTAACTAATCTACAGCACACAAACACTTGTTTCATGGTGCAGTGGTTGGCACTTGTGCTACACAGCAAGAAGGTCCTTGGTTCAACTCTACCTCTAAAACTTTAGGTGAGGCATTTGCATGTTCTTCCTGTGTCTGTGAATGTTGGGATTTACCCCAAAATCGTAAAGTGTTTGTTCTGTGAAATGTGCCATATAAACTTTACTTACTTAAGTGCTGTTAGCTGGTAATTAAGACTCAAATAGATTCATAACTGCAAACAAACGAAGAGCACTTTAAGTTTCAGTGGGTTAAAACACACTGGGACCATGTGAGAAAAATTACATAAAAATCCTTTAATGAACAAGGGCAAGCTCCGGGTTTTTTGCCATGTAGGGCCTTCTTCAGGACATGTGGAGAAATGCATATTTCTCAATAATAAAATAACTTGTCTGGAAATATGATCTATTAGAATGTCCTCCAGGTCTTTTCTGCTTCCAATTTACCGTGGATAAAAATCACATCTGCCGCATTGAGGGAATAATCGCTAAATGAGTTGTTAGTGGCATCCCTATAGTCATTATTAGTTTATCTGTTCATCATGTTTTCCTTCCTCACATGTTTTTTGTAGTTGTTTCTAACGTGTACAAAATCAAAAACAGTGAGAGCCCCTTTATTATTATTATCAGCTTCACTGGTCTGGACTCTGTGTGAGGGTGCTGTGTCTCGTCCGGATGGAAACTTCAGCTTTGATAAAACAAGGGTTGGTTTCTCTCCTGCTGCCGCTCTCTGGCCTGAGGTGAAGAGCGTCCGTCCACGTGCACATTAAGGAAACAAACAAAACATGTTTTCTGAACTCTCCTCAGAAACAGGACACATGCACCGAGACAAACGCCCGACTGTGCATTTGACTATTAATCATGATTATACAAGGATGATCTCAACAGGGCCTTGAGAATTTTCCTCGGCGCAAATTATACTGTAACGTTCTGGTCCCAATCCAATAAATCTAAATAATGTTGTTTTTAAAGAACAAATATTGAACCTTTTAACTTAACTTTTACAATTCTATTTTAGAACAAAATAAGAAGGTTGCAAAACTTGAAAGAGGGCTTCTTATTGCAGACTGATTTATTATTAAAGGTAAAGGTGCCCTATATTAATCCCTGTAGGGCAATTCAATCCTCTGCATTTGACCCATCCTGATGCCGCGAAGGCTTACGTCAGGAGCAGTGGTCGCCGTAGTAACAGCTCCCGGGAACCCATCTCCAGATGTTGATACTCGGCTTGGTCAGGACCAG